TATGTCATCATGATCGACAGATAGGTTCTCTAGTTTTTTCTTGTTAAGGATTATTCTATAAATTTCCGTTAAGGAGGAATGAAGTCTCTCTACTGGAGAGTTACTTGAAGATTGCTGGAAGGATGTTACATGGATTTCCATGTTATATTGATTACAGAAATCCCTGAACAATTTTCCCGAAAATTCAGCACCTTGATCAAAAATAAGTTTTTGAGGAATACCATATGTGTTAATGAAACTTCGAAGTGACCTGGTTGTGTTAAGGCAGTCTCTTGTAGGGATTGTATATCCCGCTGCGAATCTTGAAAATTTATCAATTGCGGTTAAGATTGTCTTTCCATTTATCGTATATAGGTCTATGTGGACTATCGAAAGGGGTTTAGGTGGTGATTCGGTAATTGCATACTTTAGTTTTTGAGGTTGTCTATCGTATTTTAGCGTTTGGCAGATATCGCAATTGTTAGTAAACTTTGATATTGCTTGCCGCATTTTTGGAAAGTAGATAGTTCTTCTAAGATGATTAAAGGTCTCTTCAGCTCCTCTGTGATTGGATTTAATGTGATAATTTTTAATTTCTGCTTCCTGTTCTTCTTCTGTTAGAATATCCCTAAGAATTTCTTTACAGCGGACCACGTTATATTTGTTTGTTTTGGTGAAATGTTCTTTAATAATAGGTCGAATTAACTCAAAAATTTCGTCCGAAGTTAAGATTGCACAAGCTTTTTGTGGTCTTAACGTATCGTTGAGAATTTCTGATAGCTTTTCGGTGGTAAAATTCGGTTCTGCGTATGTTTTTCGTGTTTTATTTTCAAACAAGGTCTCGTCTTTTGTTGTTGAATTGGGGTTCATTAAAATGACAATTTGGATGTTAAATTCATTTAGTGGAGTTTCCGAGTTCTTTATCTCGTATTTCCCTACGTCTACACTATGGGTGTTAGCTTCTAAATTAACTCGACTTAATGCGTCTGCTACCAGATTTTGAGATCCTTTCTTATATTCGACCTCGTAGTCATATTCATTGAGTTGTAACTTCCAGCGGACCAATTTTGAGTTTGGTTCTTTGAAGTTCATTAACCACTTCAGTGGTTTGTGATCTGTCCGTATTTTAAATCTCTGTCCGAATAGGTATGGTCTAAAATATTTAGTAGCCCAGATAATGGCCAACATTTCTTTTTCGACTGTCGAGTAATTTAGTTCCGTGTCGGACAGGGTTCTGCTTGCGAATGAAACGGGCCTATCCGAGTTTTCGTTTCCCTGTGATAATACCGCACCAATGGCTACGTTACTAGCATCTGTTGTGAGTATGAAGGGTTTGGTAAAATCCGGGTAACGTAAAATTGGATCATTACACAATAAGGTTTTACACAATTCTACGGCTTCCGTAAACTCTGCTTCGATTTTTATCGGTGCTTTTCCTTTTAATTTCTGGGTTAGAGGCTTAGTCAGTTTCGCAAAATCTCTAATGAACTTCCTATAATACCCCAAAAGTCCGAGAAAAGATTTGATTTCCTTTCTAGATTTGGGAATAGGAAATGCCTTAATGGCTTCTATCTTCTTTGGGTTAGGTCGAACACCTTCATCCGTAACTACATGTCCTAGGTATTCGATTTCTTTCCTTAAAAATTCGGATTTTTCTGGTTGAAGTTTAAGTCTAGCTTTTGATAGTTTTTCGAAAATTTGGCTCAAGTGGGTCATGTGTTCCTGGAGAGAGGGTGAGAAAACAATTATGTCGTCTAGGTATATCAGACAGCATTTGCCGTTTAGGTCGGCTAATACGTTATCCATTACTCTTTGAAATGTGGCTGGGGCGTTAGTCAAGCCGAATGGCATCCGAATGAACTCAAAGTGGCCGCCTTCTGCTGAAAAGGCGGTTTTTTCAGTATCTTCGGGCTTCATTTCCACCTGGTGGTAACCACTTGCCAGATCTAGAGCTGTAAAGTATTTTGCTCTTCCTATTCTATCTAGTACCTCGTTTATATTTGGCATTGGATATTTGTCTTTAATTGTCTTCTCATTAAGTTTTCTGTAATCTACTACAAGTCTCCATTTCTTTTTGTTTGAAGCGTCCATTTTTTTTGAGACCAAAAAGACTGGAGCACTCCATGGGCTGTGGCTATGTTTGATCACTTTCTGTTATAACATTTCGTTTATTTGTCTTCGCAGTTCCTGTGATTCAATGTGGCTGTACCTAAAAGGTTTAGTATATATTGGATTTTCGTCCGTTAGTTTAATTTTATGTTTTACAAGATTTGTAAAAGTAAGAGGGTCGCTTTGTTGATAGAAAAGATTGGGGAATTTCCTTGTTAGTTTCTTAAGTTCTGTCTTTTCTTCGTCGTTTAGATGGTCTGTCCTTAAGAGTTCGAAGCTATTTGACTTATAACTTTTCCCTTTAGTTATATAATCAAGAGTCGGTCTAGCTTCCAAATAATCAGATGGGGCGAATTCATTCACCTTTATTCGAGAATCTACAAATAGGTTTTGTTTTTCTTCAGAGTAGTTAACGATTTCCATTAAACTATATCCGTCTTTTGCTTGATATAAGCCCCCGTTTATGACTAAGTCTTTGTTAACGTCGATGTTGTCGCACAAAAATGTGCCATCGGTGACAGTAACTGGTAATCGAACGAGGGTTTTCGACTCCTCGTCGATTACGTGTACTCCGGTGGCCACATTCTGTTCTTGATATAATTTCAGGTTGCCGACTATTGATTGGAGTTGTAGTTTTGGAATATCAACAACTGCGTTAATCTGTTGTAAAATATCCATTCCTATAAGTCCTTGGAAGAAATCGTGGAAATGGAATATAAACATATCGAATTTTCTTTCCTCATTTGAATTGTTAAAAAGTTTGACTTCTGTTTTCTTTTCAATAAAATGGACTTTCAGTACTGTTTTGATTGGAATAGGGGTATTGAGTTTTTTTTGGTCTTTTTGCGGAATTATTAAGGGGTCTATGAAGGACATAGTTGCCCCAGTGTCTATTAAGAATTTCAATGGTGTGCCATCTTTGAATGGAGTTAGGACAATGTAGGGAAGTAGGCACCCATGGCTCACTTGGTTTAAGTATCCCGTTTGGACTTTGAGGCTCTGTCCCAAAAATTTGAATCTTCATCAATATTATGTACTTGATTATTCTCCTGTTTTTCCTGTTGTTTGTTTTCCTCAATGTTGTGTAATCTGGCAGTAGATCTAGTGTTAGGGTAGCTTGATCTACCGGTTGATTCCTGCTTCGGCATAATTGCCGGAACTTCCCTATTCCTGCCACTAGAATTGCTGCGTTCTGTGTTCCGTCCAGAGTATCGGTAGTTTCTGTTGTTATAACTTGTATATCGCCTTACCTCGTCTCTCCTACTATTTCTGTCGTTATATTGTAATCTATTGTTGTATTGGGGGTATCTTTCCCTAGGCTGATAATTATTACGTTGGTTAGTGTTGGTCTGTGTTCCCTGCAAAAATATGTTTCTCTCCTGTATTGCCCAATCGTATGCTTCCTGCAGATTGGTTGGTTTCATAGCCCTAATCGTCCCTCCTAGTTGGCCTCTCATACCCATCAAAAAGGTGTTTAGGCAAGTTCACGCAAATATCGATTTTTTTGCTCTAGCTAGGTTAGGGTCAGTTTCTTTAGTGTCAATAAGTTTGAAAAGGAGAGTTTTTATATCTATAATCTGGTCGAACAACTTTTGAACTGACAATTGTTTGTGTATCAGTCCGTGAAGTTGGATAGAAAGGGTGTGTTCATCCCTTTTGTCGGAACAATGCAAAATTAATGCCTCTTTAATTTCGTCCCAATTAAGGCCAGCCTCTGAGGCCGTTAGTATATCTTTGGCTTTCCCTACTATTTTGTTTTTAATGGACCGTAGCAAAAATTGTCCATACGGGGTCTGGTCTGTGCCCCTTATGAGCATTAAAATTTCTTCTACGTTATTAATAAAATCGCTTAGTAATTTCGAGTCCCCATTATATTCCGGTAAAAATTTAATTGCGTCCGGGATGCGTAAGGACGCATAAACCTCGGCCGAATTAATGCTGGTGTTAACCGTAGACGTGTCTGAGGAACTCATACTAACAGATGGAGGTCGTAAAATTATCTGATCAGCACTAATAGGTTCTTCCCTAATGTCTGGCAAACTTGTACTCTGTCTAGTTCTGATTCTGCTACCTGGAAGTATGTTTTTATACCCGTTACTCGTAGAGTAAAAGGGTATACTAGATTCGTCGGAAAGTATGTAACAGGCAGAAGGAAGCGTTTCCGACCCCATAAAGTATATATATTCTTGATCAGGATCACTAGCCGAGTCGATCTAGCCATGTCCGTCTGTCCGTCTGTCCGTCTGTCCGTCTGTCCGTCTGTCCGTCTGTCCGTATGAACGCTGAGATCTCGGAAACTATGAGAGTTACAATACTGGGATTAGGCACGCAGATTCCTGAGATTCCTGCGCAGCGCAAGTTTGTTTCAGTAGAGTGCCACGCCCACTCTAACGCCCACAAACCGCCCAAAACTGTGGCTCCTACAGTTTTGATGCTAGAATAAAAATTTTAACTGAAATGTAATGTTCTCATCAATACCTATCGATTGACTTAAAAAAAAGTTTGCCACGCCCACTTTAACGCCCACAAACCGCGAAAACCTGTGACGCCCACAATTTTTATGCTAGATAAAAAATTTTAACTGAAATGTATTCGTCTCGTCATTACCTATCGATTGACTCAAAAAAAAGTTTGCCACGCCCACTTTAACGCCCACAAACCGCAAAAGCCTGTGACGCCCACAATTTTCATGCTAGATAAAAAATTGTAACTGAAATGTATTGGTCTCGTCGATACCTATCGATTGATCCAAAAAAAAATTTGCCACGCCCACTCTAACGCCCATAACGCTTAAATCTGTATACCGCCGGTAGGTGGCGCATTTTAATCTCGCTTTGCTGCTTGCATATCTCCATTTAGCTGAGTAACGGGTATCTGATAGTCGAGGTACTCGACTATAGCGTTCTTCCTTGTTTACTTTATTGAGTTTCGACATCTACTCTTTACTTTCTTATTTCGGTAATTTCTTAGAAATTAATTTATCGCTTACGTATTAAGGTTTACTTATATCGTATTTGGTGATTGGTGGTGTGGAGGTGAAGATTCTCTGAAAAAATTTTGACTTTAGTTTTTATGGACTAGCAGTGTGGGCAAAAATAATGTGTAATTGTTTTTCTATATATATACTTGCAATCGTGTGAGTGTTATGTTGGTGTGTGTGTATATTTCCTCGACGTAGGGTAGTCGGACAGTGTGAGGGTCGAATTTCACCTATAAAGAGAACTTCTTTAATAGATTCCAGATATCGGATTTTCTTATATATTTGTTTATTCTTAATGCTCTTATTTAATTTACCATCACAACCGTAGCTGTAGAGATGTTAAATTACTGCACCCTTGTTTTTAATTTTTTATTTTTATTTTTAAATGATTTGGCTTTCATCACAAAATAATTGTAGAGATGATTTACCATTCACTTTTTGAACATAGCACTAAGTTCGCCCTGAACTTTTTGGGTTGTTTGCATTTTAATATTTATTCATCTTTGTTATTTCCGTGTTCGCACTGAACAACGGAAAAACTTCACTTTATATGTATTTTTATATATATTTTATTTCCATTTTTTTTTTTTTTGTGTATTGCATATTTATATATATTGTTTTTCATACTGCACCATCACTGTTGTCTTTTGCTATCCATATTATTTTTCTTTTCACCTCCACACTTGTTCTATTTCTTTTTGGTGTATTTACTTATATTAACTTACACTAAAATTATCTTCATATTCCTGTGGGTTCTCCCTTCTGGTCTCCTGATCCTGGAAGGGCCGTTCGACTGCGCCAGTTAAGTATAGATGAGCGTAATGCCAAGTGTTTGGTTGTTTTCCGACAGAAAATAATAACGCTGCCGCTCAGTTTGAGTTTGAAATTCAGATTAAAGTTTATTACTCAGCTTGGGTTTATGTATACCCTTGCTGCACGAAAATGTCTTATTCAGCTAAATACAATGTTCGTAATTCTAAGAGTAAGTATATGTGTGTGTAAGTATGTGTGTGTCTTTGGTGTCGTCAACCGATGTTGCGACAGAGCTACATCCTGCTTGTTGTTGACGCTGCACATTCTGGTTGTTATGGGCGGCCACTGACCGATCGTTGGCCGCCGTCCAGGGTAGCACGAGGTGGTTTGGTTGGGGGGTCCGTAGGGTAGGTAACTCGGGCAAGACCTTTGGGCATGTTACCCATAATAGCTGAACCTAAGATGCATTGTAAGGAAGCTAGGGCAGAAGATAAAGAGAATTTGGATAAAAATGCAAGAAGTGATAAAAGTAGAGTTGATCAAAATAAGGCAAAAATTGTGAAACATGGGATTGGCGATCATGTCTTGCTACGAAGTGAGGAACGGCATAAAACGAAATTGGATCTCAAGTTTAAAGGACTGGCTGTGGTAACAGAATTGCTGGAAGGTGATCGTTACCTATCGAAATCATTGACTAGTAAAAAAAGTTTTAAGTATCCGCATGAGAGCATGCGAAAATTGCCAGATAAACGAGTTAAATCTGAGTTGGTCGAAGAGAGTGATGGCGTTGAAATAGACACAGGAGATGACTTCAGACTTGTCACCTAAGAGGGGTGCACAGGACATCACACACAGAGGCTATATTTGATCTGATGAGAAATTGTGGCACTAAAGGTGCATATCGTCGCAAGTGGCGGCAAGAGCCTGTAATGTGTTGTGATAAGTTGTAAGCCAAATGGTCGGGTTTTCGCAGAAGAGTACAAGCTAGCCGTGTCGAGTGAATTAATAATGATAATATTTAATGTAAAATAAAATAAATGAAACTGAGAGAAACCTGTCATTGGAAATAGCGTGGGTAGGTGGGAACTCACCTTAGCCGAGTGTGGCTCAATTGTTGTTCAATAAGCAGAGTAAAATTAAAGGTAGTAGAGAATAAACTAAAAATGAGAAGTGACTACAGAATGACAAGAACACGATAGAGTTGTGCAGAGTATTAGAGTGTTTAGGACTAATTCTTTCGAGAACCTTCGAACGGGCAACACGAACAATTGCGACTTGCTGCGCATCTTAGTAAGAAAACCCAAGTGAAAGTAAAATCATGACGGACGAATCACCGTGCGAAGCGGCGAAGAGACCCCTATTATAATAATTATTTAATATAGTTAATAGTATAACATAGATAAATCTTTAATAATATAATGGTAAATAATAAAATATTAAGAAAATGACTTATATAGAGGAATGGGGTGTAAGTATTATAATTATTATTCTTCTTTCTATTCTTTCATATTAATTTGTAATTTTTCATATTAGATTAATACAATTGTAATATTAATATTAACCAGTTTTGATTTTACCTTTTTTGTTTCTTTTTAAAAGTGAATATTAAAAACCTTTTAAATTTTTGTTAAATTATTTATTTTCAATATCGTACGGGATAATTACAAACATACATCGGGGATCTAGCATTGTATGGCCGATCACTCTGAACTCGGACCACTCTTGTGGGTTTACAACAGCGCCAGGGAGTCCTTACTCCTGTCCTCGATAGATGTCTCCCAGCGAAGTAATGGACGCCAAATTGGCTTTTCGATGTTACGTTTTATATGAAACATATCAAATTGAATCGAATTCATAACAACATAATACGAATTCATATCAAGATAATACGAGCTCATATCAATATGATACAAAATCATATCAATTACAAATGTTGATATGCATCCGTTTCATGTTGATATGAGTTCCTATTAATTTGATATGAAAAAAAGTGATATGTGAAAATTGAGGAGACAATATCAAGTGGCCATTATTCCGTTTTTTCTCTGTGTAGGCATAAAGGCAAAGATAATAATAAGTTAAAAAGATGTCAAAAAGAAAAAAAAGATTCTGCGCACAGTGTTTTAAAATGCAGCTTGGCTCCTTGTCAGGACCAGCTGAGTATGAAACGTCAATAGAGGACATTTTTTCCAAAACGACGGCTGTATATAATAGGGATACGGTGTAGCGGTGTTGTAGGGCTCAGAAGAATAAGTTGACTGGAAAAAGATGCAAGTAAGTTGGAAATCTCGGGACCCATTAGACCAATATAATCTGTTTTCCGAAAACATTTTATGGGACAAGTTGTTGAGGAGGGCAATTTGTAAGATTGGTTTTAAATCTCAACAGATATAGATTAAGTTGGCTGATAATGATCTTCAAGAAATTGCGTTGACTCAAGAAACTGTTGCAAGAGCGGCGACACTATCGAACACGAGGTCCAAAAGTCTGTTTCGATTATTTTTAACAGAGTTGATTTGAGCGAGGGGCACTTCTGTTATCCCATCTATAAAATCATGACAAATGTTAAGCCTAGTACTCAGAGCGGCTAAGAGTTTCACTAGTCGAAAAATCTTATTCTTTGTAGTGTGACCGTAGTTTTCAAAGTTCACCCGCAATACATGTAGCATGTACTGACAAGCAGCTGGGTATGTTACCAAACGGAAAACCAATTAATTAGAAAAATTTTAAATGGATAAGTCTGCTTGTACACAAAGCAATTAAATTAAACGAATGTTATTATTTATGTAAATTAGTAGCTTAAAGCTTCGTTCTCGTCCCACGGATGCTCCGCCATCTTTACCGAGCCACCGCAGCCCAGCTCCGAGTCCCAATAGGCATATTGGACCTTGAGAAAGTGGGAGACCGATTGGGAACGGGGTTGATCCGCTGATGCTGCAGGAAGTCGCCCAGCATCCTGGCAGTGGCTGGCTATGGCTTATCCAACTGTTCCTTAGCGGGCGCCCTAATTTCCTCCTCCCTATAGAAGCCAGGGGGTCCTATAGCTCCGCTTAAGCTGCCAAGTAGGTGGTGGTGGTGAATATATTTTTCTTGTTAAAGACTTAAGCGGAGTTCTAAAAGAGGTAAAAGGAAAAGGCAGCCGTAAAATCATAAGTATCCCATATTTTGTTACTTCCGGCCGAAACCTAAAATTGGGCGCACGGCAAACACACAAGAGAATACGATATTGAAGACCGCCGGAAACACTTTTCTCCAGCAGCTGAGCGTGCGCACAGAAGCGCTCATAGGAGTGATATTTTTGCGGAGGCGTTTCTGCGCTACGATCGCGTAAAACGATCGACGAAGAAGTCGAAAAGGCATTCGCTGGGTATTCATTTTTAAGCTCCGTCGTTGTAAATCCGTAAAAAAAACCCCGCATATAACGTCAAAGTGGATAAAAACGAAGTGGTGAAGGAAGGTGCAAAAGAGATGCATGGAGAAGCGGCGATCGCGAAGAAAAATAATTAATCTCGCCAAGCAGAACAATCTCAAATTGTTGGCCGGAGAAATCATTTCTTTTTTTTGGTTATATGTAAGTAATTTTTTTATAGTTTTTTTTTAAAGTGAGCTTGTAGTTTGTCTAAAGCGTTTTGGTTTCCTTGTGAGCCGGCCGAAACTCCCGTATAGTTTCTCACAGTGAAAGAAAAAGGGTTACCGCATATGGGACGGCCAATGGAAGGGTGGGCTGAACGCCGCCTCATTAACAGCTGAGGTGGAAATGCGCTAGACCCGATCGCAGGTGAAGAGGACTCTAGGCCCGACAATAGCCCAAGCGTAGGAGTGCTTTCTCTTCCCGGCTTAAGTTTTCGGTTCGAATTTTGTATTAACAATCGAATAGGCCCTGAAGGATTACAGCAAGAAAGGTAATTTGGTTTTTGTCCCTCTTTTTGTATAGGAAAATCCGAGGTTGGTCCACTGTTAGGCGAATTTCTTAAAACCTGTGGGTCTGATTTTATTGAAACATTCTAACAAGAATCTTGAATTAACGCCTGGCTTAGCGTGCATATTGGCACATCCTCTGTGAGTGTACCAGTTACAACAAGGAAGAACGCTATAGTCGAGTACCTCGACTATCAGATACCCGTTACTCAGCTAAATGGAGATGTGCAAGCAGCAAAGCGAGACTAAAATGCGCCACCTACCGGCGGTAAACAGATTTAAGCGTTATGGGCGTTAGAGTGGGCTTTGGATCAATCAATAGGTATTGACGAGACCAATACATATCAGTTAGGATGAAAATTGTGGGCGTCACAGGCTTGGGGGGTTTGTGGGCGTTAAAGTGGGCGTGGCAAACTTTTTTTTGGGTCAATTGATAGGTTTTGATGAGAACAATATATTTCAGTTAACATTTTTATTCTAGCATCAAAACTGTAGGAGCCACAGTTTTGGGCGGTTTGTGGGCGTTAGAGTGGGCGTGGTTGCGCTGCGTAAGAAGCTCAGGAATCTGCACGCCAAATCTCAATAGCCTAG